CGGCATTGGAACTTTAGTCCCAGCTAAACAGCCAAATTCCCCAGTTAAATCCAGTGAGTTTTTTGCACTGTATAGACTGTGGGGCATTGCTTAAGCGAAAGTCGCTGTGGAGGCATGTGGCCAGGTGCCGGCTTTCACAGAAAGATGCCCAGGCTAAACCAGGTAGAAGTAGGGTCCAGTCCCTCTGCTCCCTAGCCCAGCCTGTACCGGAGGGCATCAGCAAAAAGCTGTGGTCTTTAATTTCGGCAATGCATCAGGATGAGGTCACGGGTGTTGTCAAAGCAGAAAAGGGGATTCTGAGAGTTCGGTGAGTGAACGCTGGTGCGCTTTGGCAGCCGCTGCTCACAGAACAAACACGGGCTAAAACATTGTTTACGCAATATTGGATGTCGTGGTTACGTTATGTTTTAAGGATTGTTTACCTGCTTTCGATATCAACCACAGTTTGCTGTTGTCATAAGCATTTTGGACATATTCATACCTGGGACCCCTGGCTGTCGTATTCCCCTCCTGGGAAACGATGTGTGTCTGCCATATAACGCGCTGGCTTGTTGTCATCTGGCTCATCGTGTCCCTGGTCCATCTGCAGGCCAATGCTCTCCTCCAGTACTCCGCTGCTGAACTTTTAAAACTTCGGCACCACGTCCCCGCTCCTCTTCAGCCACCGGAGCGCGGACATGACATCCCCCCGGGCATCGCCTTCCAGCCCCGGCGGCGGTACGTTCACCGTGGATCACGCCGTAAGCTCCAATACAAGGACTCCCATTCAATAAAGTCCCTCTGGTCCACCACTCGCCGCTGCTCCCGCACCGCTGGTTGGGACGCTGACAGTGTCCTGGTCAGCGTGGCCCGATCGGCTCAGCCCGCGGCAGCCAAGAACAGCTCCACCACCGTCAGCTTCGGTCTCCTCAACGTGCGCTCCCTCAACACCAAGGGCCATCTGGTCCGGGATGTCCTCGTCGACCGTAAGCTGGACTTCTTGTGTTTGACCGAAACCTGGCAGCAGCCAAATGACTTTGCCGCGTTGAACGACTCCACTCCACCGGGGTTTGTTTACATCTGCCAGCCCCGCAGCTGTGGCCGCCGGGGCGGAGGTCTCGCGATGCTTCACCGCGAGACTTGGAAAGTCACACCTGTGCCTGCTGCCCCTGTCTTCTCCTCCTTCGAGTACTCTGCCTCACTGCTGCCTGGACCTTCTCCTACTGTTGTTGCCACCATCTACCGCCCGCCAAAACTTAATCAGGACTTTTTAAATGACTTTTCTCACCTTCTAACACACTTCTCATCTATCTCTCATAACGCAGTCATACTTGGGGACTTCAACATTCACATGGACAATAATAGCAACCCTCTCACCAAAGACTTCTCCTCCTGTTTAGATAGTTTTGGTTTACAACAACACATTCATTTCCCCACCCACACTAAAGGTCACATTTTGGATTTAATCTGCTGCTCTGGTCTCACTCCCACTGACTGTAAACCTCACACACTCCCATACACAGACCATAAGCTCATCACCTTCAATATCAACCTCACCCTCTCCAAGACCATCCTTCCCCGAACCATTTCTTTCCGTAAAATTCAGGACATAAACACTGCCACCTTCGCCTCAGATATCAATAACCTCCCCACTACTGATCCCAATGACTCCCCCGATGACCTGGTCTCCCACTACAACACTTCTCTCCATAACCTCCTGAACAATCATGCTCCTCTCAAAACCCGACCCGTCTCTTTCACGCTCTCAGCACCCTGGTTCACCCCTGCCCTCCGTCAGCTCAAATCCCAAGGACGTCAACTTGAACGGCTCTTCAATAAAACTGGACTCACCATTCACAAACAAATGTACAATAACCACATCATGCTATACAAGGACCATCTCTCTGCTGCCAAATCCACCTACTACTCCGGTTTAATCCACTCCAATCATCAAAACTCCAAAACTCTCTTCTCTCTTCTCACCAATATAACCAAACCCCCTGACTCCCTCCCTCACCATATGCAATCCACTGACTTCTGTAACTCACTCATGTCCTTCTTTACCTCCAAGATCTCTGACATTCACCAACACCTGACCCCGCATGGAGCTGCAGCCTCTGGAGTGGACCCCCCAGCCCCCTACTCATCCCTCATAGCCACATTCTCCAGCTTCATCTTGCCCTCCGTCCAAGCCATCTCCGACTTTATCATTAAATCCAAACCTTCTACCTCTCAGCTCGACCCTCTCCCTACCGTTCTGGTCAAATCCTGCCTCCCCTCAGCTGCCCCCCTCATCACTAATATCATTCATTCATCTCTCACTTCTGGTACTGTCCCTCTCTTATTCAAAACCGCCTCAGTCTCACCCATTCTCAAAAAACCTGGCCTGGATCCAACCAACTTCAACAACCTCCGTCCCATCTCAAACCTTCCCTTCATCTCCAAAATACTTGAAAAATCTGTCGCTGCTCAACTCCACAACCACCTCACCACCAACAACATCTACGAACAATTTCAGTCTGGTTTCCGTCCCCTCCACAGCACCGAAACAGCTCTTCTAAAAATCACTAACGATCTCCTCATAGCCTCTGACTCCGGTTTACTCTCCATCCTCATCCTTCTGGACCTCACTGCAGCTTTTGACACCATTTCTCACTCCACCCTCCTGAACAGACTCTCCTCCATCGGCATCACCCACACCCCCCTCGCCTGGTTCACCTCCTATCTTTCTGGTCGCTCACAGTTCATTCATCTCAAATCCCACAAATCCCGCACTTTTCCTGTCTCTGCTGGTGTGCCCCAGGGCTCTGTCCTGGGGCCCCTCCTCTTCATCATCTATATTCTCCCACTCGGTCACATCCTCCGCTGTCACAACATTCACTTCCACTGCTACGCGGATGACACCCAGCTCTACCTCTCCGCTAAACCATCTTCCTCTCTCCCTCCATCCTCCCTCACCCTCTGTCTACAAGAAATTCATTCCTGGTTCTCTTCCAACTTTCTCAAACTCAATAGCTCAAAAACTGAAGTCCTTCTCATAGGCACCCCCTCCACTCTCTCCAAATCTACCAGCTTCTCAATCTCCATCCATAACACATCTGTCCTCCCCTCCCCTCAAGTCAAGAGCCTGGGTGTCATCCTCGACAGTTCACTCTCCTTCCAATCCCACATCAATAACATCACTCGGTCTGCCTACTTCCACCTGCGCAATATCTCTCGTCTCCGCCCCTCTCTCACCCCCCACACCGCCGCCATCCTCGTCCACAGCCTCGTCACCTCAAGGATTGACTACTGCAACTCACTTCTCTTCGGCCTCCCCAACAAATCCCTCCAGAAACTGCAGCTCCTCCAAAACTCTGCAGCTCGTATCATCACCGGACCCCCACAGCTCACCACATCACCCCCGTACTACAACAACTCCACTGGCTTCCTGTCAAACAGCGCATCAATTTCAAAATACTCCTCACCACCTTCAAAGCACTTCACAACCTGGCCCCTCCGTACTTATCTGACCTCCTCCACCCTCACATTCCTGCCCGCACACTCCGCTCCTCCTCCACCCTCACACTCTCCGTCCCCCCAGCCAGACTCATCACTGTGGGACACAGAGCCTTCAGCCACTCTGCCCCCCAGCTCTGGAACTCTCTCCCCCCTGACCTCCGTACCATTGACTCTCTTCCACTCTTCAAATCCCGACTCAAAACCCATCTGTTCAGACTGTCCTACCCCACCTAACACACACGCGCGCACGCACACACACACACACACACACACACACCTAACACACACGCACACACACACCCTCCTAACTCACACACACACACACACCATCCCATATTGCACCTGACTACTGTTTTATTCTGTTTATCCTGTTTTTAAATGTTTTTATTATGCCTGTACAGTGTCCTTGGGTGTTTTGAAAGGCGCTTTTAAATAAAATGTATTATTATTATTATTATTCTGAGACTCGGAGAGCACCTGTACTTAAAACACGGGCATGATAAGACTAAGCATGATTACATTAGGCAGAAAATGAGAGAAGTCGGTAGGTTAATTAACGAAGCAAAAACTGCAGGGAAACTGAAAACAATTAAGGATTTCTTAATTCCTTCCAACTTTAACCATGTGATTGATGCAGTCAGGTCTGTGGCTGGATATGATGAGGAAACAAATCAATACAAGACTCCATCCTTGGCCCTCAAACTCGGCCATAGCCTCAGAAAGCTAGCAGATATTCTTGAATGTGACTCAAAAATGGAGCATTGTGTTGATGAACTATTTATTAAAAACCTCCAACGAAGCCGGCTGCTTTTTGAGAAGAGGTGGGACGTCTGTGTTTCTTCTGCTGCCCTACAGACCCTCCGGCAAGCCAAGTGGAACACTCCGGACCTGCTCCCTCTGACTGAGGACGTTAGAGCCATGCATGCACATATTGAGGTATGTCGACCTGAATATGTGCAAACCCTAATAAGTGAGCCAACGTCTAAGCATTGGTCTAAACTGGCAGTTTTGACTCTTTGTGAGGTCATTATTTTCAATCGAAGAAGGGAAGGTGAGGTTTCAAAGATGCCACTGACAGCCTTTACCTTAAGAAGTAAGACTGGGATCCATTCTGACATTGCTCTGGGACTGTCCCAACTTGAGAAAAAGCTGTGTCAGCATTTTCAACGCATTGAAATTAAAGGGAAAAGAAGTGGGAAAGTGGTGGTTCTTTTGACTCCTGAAATGATTGCTTCGATGGAGGTGCTGGTGGAGAACAGAAGGGCCTGTTCCATCTCTGACCATAACCCATACTTCTTTTCCCGCCCGGGCGCAGACACCCACATCAGGGGATCAGACTCCCTACGCCAGGTAGCCAAAGAATGTGGTGCGGTGCATCCAGAGATGCTATCCTCAACCAAACTTAGAAAGCACATAGCTACTATGTCTACAGTTCTCAATATGAAAGAGAATGAGATGGACATACTTGCCAACTTCCTCGGCCATGACATTCGCATCCACAGGCAATATTACAGACTACCAGAGGGGACACTGGAGCTGGCCAAAATCAGCAAAGTGTTGATGGCCATGGAGCAGGGAAGAGTGACGGAATTCGAAGGAAAGAGCCTCGACCAGATACAAATTGAGCCTGAAGGTAATTCTTGATATCATTAAAATATGTATGATTTTTTTCCCCTAAAGGCCACTTGTATTTTTATTTTCTGTGCGACAGGGAGAGCAGTAGAGATCCTCTCACAAACGGACGGGCTAAAAGAAACTTCAAGCGGAGAACCTTCAACCATTCATCCAGATGCACCCCATGGTAGTGGCAGTGCCCCTTCTGGTAAGTGTACCAGGTGGGGGATTACAGCCAGGCTGCTTGGTCCTAACCCTGGGAGTGTATATTGCTAATATATTTTTATTTCTCTCCCTAGAACGTGTAAGAAAGCCATGGTCTGCATCTGAGGTGAAGGCTGTGGAGAAGACCATGACACCTTTCATACAGACTGGAAAGGTCCCTGGGAAGTCTCACTGCCTGGCCTGCATTAATGCCTCACCAGATGACCTTAGACATCGGACATGGAGTGGCATTAAATTCTATGTCAAAAATAGAATCACTGCAATTCGAAAAAAAAATCTAAAATAAAATTCCTTTAAAATAGTTGTTTGGTTTCTATTGACTGTTTTGTATTACTTAAAGTAGTCCCAGTAAAAAAAGATTATGTCTATGGGTCCCATTCTGAACGGCCCTGTCAAAGGGACCCACCAGGTAACAAAAACGTGTATGTGTGTGTGTGTGTGTGTGTGTGTGTGTGTGCGTGTCTGTGTGTGTGTGTGTGTGTGTGTGTTTGTGTCTGTGTGAGAGTGTGTGTGTGTGTGTGAGAGTGTCTGTGTGTGTGTGTGTGTGTGTGTGTGTGTGTGTGTGTTACCTACTGAGTTGTGTGTGTGTTACCTGATTAATTGTGTGTGTGTTACCTACTGAGTTGTGTGTGTGTGTTACCTGATGAATTGTGTGTGTGCGTGTGTTACCTACTGAGTTGTGTGTGTGTTACCTGATGAATTGTGTGTGTGTTACCTACTGAGGTGTGTGAGTGTGTGTTACCTGATGAATTGTGTGTGTGTTACCTACTGAGTTGTGTGTGTCACCTACTGAGTTGTGTGTGTGTGTTACCTGATGAATTGTGTGTGCACTTGTTTTCAACTCCTGGTGGGTTCCATAACCTGAGATTCCACTCACGTCATGGGGACTGGTTTTACGTGGTGGGGCCCGAACACCGGACCCCACTGGTCCAAGCTTAATAATCAATGGGTAATGCTTTTCTAACGGTCCTTATGCAGTCTCTGTAAAAATATGGAAAGGACCCCTGGAGGTTTACTTTCCTGAAAAAAGTGTGTTATGTGTCGGAACCCTGGTGGTGGGTTGCGGGATATCAAGGAGGGGCACACTGGGGCAATTTCAGTCCAGCAGGCTGGAGCCAATCATGGAGCAGCACAACAGAGGAAATCAGGTGTCAGGCTAGAAAAAGGTGCAAGTGTGTGGTTCATTAGGCTGCAAGAAATCATGGAGGAGCACACTGAAGCGCACGCTTACAAACCACTGGTAAGTGCTGACTACAAGTCATGACTTCAAATTGTTATATAGAATGATTACAAATTATTTGTTGTTTGTGCAGCTTAGTCAAGAGTCCCTAATTGATGAAGTCGACTCAGATTCTGACGATTTAACTGTCAAGAAGAAACCTGTAAAAAAGTATGGAAAAAGAAAAATCAAAAACACTTTTCTTCAAGACTCGGAAAGTGACGAACCAAAGGCAAATAAGATTGTTATCATGCAGCTGCAAAAGAAGAAAAATGGGGGGCGAGTTTACAGCAAGAGACACTTCTGCCTCTACTGTTCAATGTCCTGCCACAAAATGTCCCGTCATTTGACTAGAAAACATGGAAATGAAAGTGACGTAGCCAGAGCATTGGCTCTACCTGTGAAATCTAAAGCACGTAAACTTCAGTTTGATTTGATCAGGAATAGTGGAAACCGTGAGCACAATTTTGAGGTTTTAAAGGCCGGCATTGGAACTTTAGTCCCAGCTAAACAGCCAAATTCCCCAGTTAAATCCAGTGAGTTTTTGCACTGTATAGACTGTGGGGCATTGCTTAAGCGAAAGTCGCTGTGGAGGCATGTGGCCAGGTGCCGGCTTTCACAGAAAGATGCCCAGGCTAAACCAGGTAGAAGTGGTCCAGTCCCTCTGCTCCCTAGCCCAGCCTGTACCGGAGGGCATCAGCAAAAAGCTGTGGTCTTTAATTTGGGCAATGCATCAGGATGAGGTCACGGGTGTTGTCAAAGCAGAAAAGGGGATTCTGAGACTCGGAGAGCACCTGTACTTAAAACACGGGCATGATAAGACAAAGCATGATTACATTAGGCAGAAAATGAGAGAAGTCGGTAGGTTAATTAACGAAGCAAAAACTGCAGGGAAACTGAAAACAATTAAGGATTTCTTTATTCCTTCCAACTTTAACCATGTGATTGATGCAGTCAGGTCTGTGGCTGGATATGATGAGGAAACAAATCAATACAAGACTCCATCCTTGGCCCTCAAACTCGGCCATAGCCTCAGAAAGCTAGCAGATATTCTTGAATGTGACTCAAAAATGGAGCATTGTGTTGATGAACTATTTATTAAAAACCTCCAACGAAGCCGGCTGCTTTTTGAGAAGAGGTGGGACGTCTGTGTTTCTTCTGCTGCCCTACAGACCCTCCGGCAAGCCAAGTGGAACACTCCGGACCTGCTCCCTCTGACTGAGGACGTTAGAGCCATGCATGCACATATTGAGGTATGTCGACCTGAATATGTGCAAACCCTAATAAGTGAGCCAACGTCTAAGCATTGGTCTAAACTGGCAGTTTTGACTCTTTGTGAGGTCATCATTTTCAATCGAAGAAGGGAAGGTGAGGTTTCAAAGATGCCACTGACAGCGTTTACCTTAAGAAGTAAGACTGGGATCCATTCTGACATTGCTCTGGGACTGTCCCAAATTGAGAAAAAGCTGTGTCAGCATTTTCAACGCATTGAAATTAAAGGGAAAAGAAGTCGGAAAGTGCCGGTTCTTTTGACTCCTGAAATGATTGCTTCGATGGAGGTGCTGGTGGAGAACAGAAGGGCCTGTTCCATCTCTGACCATAACCCATACTTCTTTTCCCGCCCGGGCGCAGACACCCACATCAGGGGATCAGACTCCCTACGCCAGGTAGCCAAAGAATGTGGTGCGGTGCATCCAGAGATGCTATCCTCAACCAAACTTAGAAAGCACATAGCTACTATGTCTACAGTTCTCAATATGAAAGAGAATGAGATGGACATACTTGCCAACTTCCTCGGCCATGACATTCGCATCCACAGACAATATTACAGACTACCAGAGGGGACACTGGAGCTGGCCAAAATCAGCAAAGTGTTGATGGCCATGGAGCAGGGAAGAGTGACGGAATTCAAAGGAAAGAGCCTCGACCAGATACAAATTGAGCCTGAAGGTAATTCTTGATATCATTAAAATATGTATGATTTTTTTCCCCTAAAGGCCACTTGTATTTTTATTTTCTGTGCGACAGGGAGAGCAGTAGAGATCCTCTCACAAACGGACGGGCTAAAAGAAACTTCAAGCGGAGAACCTTCAACCATTCATCCAGATGCACCCCATGGTAGTGGCAGTGCCCCTTCTGGTAAGTGTACCAGGTGGGGGATTACAGCCAGGCTGCTTGGTCCTCACCCTGGGAGTGTATATTGCTAATATATTTTTATTTCTCTCCCTAGAACGTGTAGAGAAAGCCATGGTCTGCATCTGAGGTGAAGGCTGTGGAGAAGACCATGACACCTTTCATACAGACTGGAAAGGTCCCTGGGAAGTCTCACTGCCTGGCCTGCATTAATGCCTCACCAGATGACCTTAGACATCGGACATGGAGTGGCATTAAATTCTATGTCAAAAAGAATCACTGCTATTCGAAAAAAAAATCTAAAATAAAATTCCTTTAAAAGAGTTGTTTGGTTTCTATTGACTGTTTTGTATTACTTAAAGTAGTCCCAGTAAAAAAAGATTATGTCTATGCAGGGTCCCATTCTGAACGGCCCTGTCAAAGGGACCCACCAGGTAACAAAAACGTGTACGTGTGTGCATGTGTGTGCATGTGTGTGTGTGTGTGCATGTGTGTGTGCGTGTGTGTGCGTGTGTGCATGTGTGTGTGTGCATGTGTGTGTGTGCGACCACAGAGATCTACACAAAAACGAGACCAAAGCAGAGTCTCTCCCACATCCTAAACAGCCGTATTAAAGCTGGGATCTGTAACTTTCCCACCACAGCATTAAAACTCTGTGTTAAACCCATGTCTCCAGGTCCTGGCTCTAAACACTGTGTGTATTTCTGTCACAGTGAGGACCACCCTCACTCAGCCAATCAGCTCTCAGCCCAAAGACAAATAGTAGAAGTCATCTTTATTTATATAGCGCCTTTATACAGACCAAGGTCAGTCAAAGCGCTTCACAAAGTTCAGATATTGCTCCATTCTCTCCACATGGTCCAGAACATACCCGACCATCGAAAGCTCCGACATCATCATTCACTCGTGACATTCAGACTATTGTACATTGGTTAGTGGTAGGGGAAACCGGAGCACCCATAGGAAACCTTTACAGACACAGGGAGAACATACAAACGTGGCTCTTTCTCACAGAAATTATATAAGGACTTTAGTGTGTGTTTGAGACAGAGACGGACCAGAGAGAGACCAGAGAGAGATCAGAGAGAGAGATCAGAGAGAGACCAGAGAGAGAGACCAGAGAGAGACCAGAGAGAGAGACCAGAGAGAGACCAGAGAGAGACCAGAGAGAGATCAGAGAGAGACCAGAGAGAGACCAGAGAGAGACCAGAGAGAGACCAGAGAGAGAGACCAGAGAGAGACCAGAGAGAGAGACCAGAGAGAGACCAGAGAGAGACCAGAGAGAGAGACCAGAGAGAGACCAGAGAGAGACCAGAGAGAGACCAGAGAGAGAGACCAGAGAGAGAGACCAGAGAAAGAGACCAGAGAGAGATCAGAGAGAGACCAGAGAGAGAGACCAGAGAGAGACCAGAGAGAGAGACCAGAGAGAGAGACCAGAGAGAGACCAGAGAGAGAGACCAGAGAGAGATCAGAGATAGACCAGAGAGAGAGACCAGAGAGAGAGACCAGAGAGAGACCAGAGAGAGAGACCAGAGAGATCTCTCTCTTTCTGGTCTCTCTTACCCTTGACCTCTGGCTCATGCTGACCCCTGACCTCTGACCTTCGCAGCTGCGCTCGTCTGTCAGCAGCTTGTGTCCTTTCTGGCAGCTGCATTCGAAGGAGCCGACCGTGTTCCGACAGAAGTGGTCACAGCCGCCGTTGATCTCCAGGCACTCGTCGATGTCTGCGGAAACACAAGAGCCAATGCAATTTATTTATGTATCGCTCAAAATCATAGCAGCAGTCGTCTAAGACTTTACAAAGTTGTGGATTCACTGACAGAGAAGAATCAAACCGAACACAGGGAATGCAAATATAACAAACACACAGGATCCAGGACTGAGGCTCCACGACTGAGGCTGTAGACCCAGGACTGAGGCTGTAGACCCAGGACTGAGGCTGTAGACCCAGGACTGAGGCTGTAGACCCAGGACTGAGGCTGTAGACCCAGGACTGAGGCGGTAGACCCAGGACTGAGGCTGTAGACCCAGGACTGAGGCTGTAGACCCAGGACTGAGGCTGTAGACCCAGGACTGAGGCTGTAGACCCAGGACTGAGGCTGTAGACCCAGGACTGAGGCTGTAGACCCAGGACTGAGGCTGTAGACCCAGGACTGAGGCTGTAGACCCAGGACTGAGACTGTAGATCCAGGACTGAGGCTGTTGACCCAGGACTGAGTCTGTAGACCCAGGACTGAGGCTGTAGACCCAGGACTGAGGCTGTAGACCCAGGACTGAGGCTGTAGACCCAGGACTGAGACTGTAGATCCAGGACTGAGGCTCCACGACTGAGACTGTAGACCCAGGACTGAGGCTGTTTTTTAAACGATTAATCTAGTAATTATTTTTTTGATGCATCAATTAATCTAACAATACATTTTTTCAGTTTGATTCGATTATCTCCCCATTAACTGACCAATATCAATGTAGACATGTTGATTTACATCTGAATGGAAACACATGAATTCCTTAATCTAGCTCACTGAAAAAAATGCATCTTATTCTTCTTTCAGATGAAAATAACACTTGATGTTTAACCAGTGGGGGAGGGTCTCAGCTCAAAAGTAGCCGGGACGTGCGCTGACATGCTGCAATACCACCCCGGGCCTGTGGGGGTGGACCCAGAAGTAGAATTAGCCAATGCTAACATATAGCATTAGCTAACCTCTCGATGGTCCAAAAGTTGTATCTTGGCCCAAAGCTCCGTTCCACATGTGTGTCAATGCTGAGTGTTCTGGACCAGTCTAGTTTAGTCGCTGTGGACTTTAGAAGTCTCTCGTTTAAATGAATGGAGCTGCGCTGACGTATGCACAGATGCGTTTTTTCACAATTTTCTTGTGGGTGGGACCACTCGCGGCCATTTTGGATGGCTCCAGTAGAGCAATTTTTTTGGCCCATTAGTTAGAACGGCGGAGATAGGCGTGACTCTGTCCGTTAATATATACAGTCTTCGTGTTTAGCGTTCAATAAAATAAATTAAAAGTTCACCCAAAATACTTGTTTAGAGCGGCTGAAAGAATACAGTAACCAATGTAAACCTGAGGTCTTTAAGTTAAAGAGAGAGAGCTTTTCTAGCAAAAAATAATGCAAATAAACCTTTAGAGTTCCACAGTTCTGTTGAACATAGGCCGAGCTTACTGAAAACATCATCTTCATTCACAAATAACATATAACTCCTTAGACTCGGACACTTTCCTTTCCCCTGAAGAACACTGTCTCTGTGTGTGCTCGTGAACATTCCCACAGCCCGAGATGTCAATATAAATATATATATATCCATCCATCCATCCATTTTCTTCCCCTTAATCCATTTCTGGGTCGGGGGGGTGGCAGTCAGAGCTGCACCCAGTTCACAGAGCACCAGCCCTATATATATATATATATGTATATGTATATGTACAGTGCCTTGCGAAAGTATTCGGCCCCCTTGAACCTTTCGCCACATTTCAGGCTTCAAACATAAAGATATAAAATTTTAATTTTTTGTCATGAATCAACAACAAGTGGGACACAATCGTGAAGTGGAATGAAATTTGTTGGATAATTTAAACTTTTTTAACAAATAAAAAACTGAAAAGTGGGGCGTGCAATATTGTTCGGCCCCTTTACTTTCAGTGCAGCAAACTCAGTCCAGAAGTTCAGTGAGGATCTTTGAATGATCCAATGTTGTCCTAAATGACTGATGATGATAAATAGAATGCACCTGTGTGTAATCAAGTCTCCGTATAAATGCACCTGCTCTTTGATAGTCTCAGGGTTCTGTTTAAAGCGCAGAGAGAACCATGAAGACAAAGGAACACACCAGGCAGGTCCGAGATACTGTTGTGGAGAAGTTTAAAGCCGGATTTGGATACAAAAAGATTTCCCAAGCTTTAAACATCTCAAGGAGCACTGTGCAAGCAATTATATTGAAATGGAAGGAGTATCAGACCACTGCAAATCTACCAAGACCCGGCCGTCCCTCCAAACTTTCATCTCAAACAAGGAGAAGACTGATCAGAGATGCAGCCAAGAGGCCCATGATCACTCTGGATGAACTGCAGATAACTACAGCTGAGGTGGGGATGGTGTGTTCAGGGTGATGAGCTGTGTTGCTTTTACACCAAACATATCGTTTTGCATTGTGGCCAAATAGTTTGATTTTGGTTTCATCTGACCAGAGCACCTTCTTCCACATGTTTGGTGTGTCTCCCAGGTGGCTTGTGGCAAACTTTAAACCAGACTTTTTATGGATATCTCTGAGAAATGGCTTTCTTCTTGCCACTCTTCCATAAAGGCCAGATTTGTGCAGTGCACGACTGATTGTTGTCCTATGGACAGACTCTCCCACCTCAGCTGTAGTTATCTGCAGTTCATCCAGAGTGATCATGGGCCTCTTGGCTGCATCTCTGATCAGTCTTCTCCTTGTTTGAGATGAAAGTTTGGAGGGACGGCCGGGTCTTGGTAGATTTGCAGTGGTCTGATACTCCTTCCATTTCAATATAATTGCTTGCACAGTGCTCCTTGAGATGTTTAAAGCTTGGGAAATCTTTTTGTATCCAAATCCGGCTTTAAACTTCTCCACAACAGTATCTCGGACCTGCCTGGTGTGTTCCTTTGTCTTCATGGTTCTCTCTGCGCTTTAAACAGAACCCTGAGACTATCAAAGAGCAGGTGCATTTATACGGAGACTTGATTACGCAAGTCATTACTCATCAGTCATTTAGGACAACATTGGATCATTCAAAGATCCTCACTGAACTTCTGGACTGAGTTTGCTGCACTGAACGTAAAGGGGCCGAATAATATTGCACGCCCCACTTTTCAGTTTTTTATTTGTTAAAAAAGTTTAAATTATCCAATAAATTTCATTCCACTTCACGATTGTATGTCTACATACTTTGTCTACCATCGTGGTGGTGGACAAAGGGCAGAGGACAGCCGTGGTGGTGGACAAAGGGCAGAGGACAGCCGTGGTGGTGGACAAAGGGCAGAGGACAGCCGTGGTGGTGGACAAAGGGCAGAGGACAGCCGTGGTGGTGGACAAAGGGCAGAGGACAGCCGTGGTGGTGGACAAAGGACAGAGGACAGCCGTGGTGGTGGACAAAGGGCAGAGGACAGCCGTGGTGGTGGACAAAGGGCAGAGGACAGCCGTGGTGGTGGACAAAGGGCAGAGGACAGCCGTGGTGGTGGACAAAGGGCAGAGGACAGCCGTGGTGGTGGACAAAGGGCAGAGGACAGCCGTGGTGGTGGACAAAGGGCAGAGGACAGCCGTGGTGGTAGACAAAGGGCAGAGGACAGCCGTGGTGGTGGACAAAGGGCAGAGGACAGCCGTGGTGGTGGACAAAGGGCAGAGGACAGCCGTGGTGGTGGACAAAGGGCAGAGGACAGCCGTGGTGGTGGACAAAGGGCAGAGGACAGCCGTGGTGGTGGACAAAGGGCAGAGGACAGCCGTGGTGGTGGACAAAGGACAGAGGACAGCCGTGGTGGTGGACAAAGGGCAGAGGACAGCCGTGGTGGTGGACAAAGGGCAGAGGACAGCCGTGGTGGTGGACAAAGGGCAGAGGACAGCCGTGGTGGTGGACAAAGGGCAGAGGACAGCCGTGGTGGTGGACAAAGGGCAGAGGACAGCCGTGGTGGTGGACAAAGGGCAGAGGACAGCCGTGGTGGTGGACAAAGGACAGAGGACAGCCGTGGTGGTGGACAAAGGGCAGAGGACAGCCGTGGTGGTGGACAAAGGGCAGAGGACAGCCGTGGTGGTGGACAAAGGGCAGAGGACAGCCGTGGTGGTGGACAAAGGGCAGAGGACAGCCGTGGTGGTGGACAAAGGACAGAGGACAGCCGTGGTGGTGGACAAAGGGCAGAGGACAGCCGTGGTGGTGGACGTGGCAATTCCAAGCGATGGTAACATCCGGAAAAAAGAACCTGAAAAGCTTGAGAAATACCAAGGTCTCAGAGAGGAGCTGGAGAGGGTCTGGAGGGTAAAGGTCACAGTAGTGAGAGGGCCTGGAGGGTAAAGGTCACAGTAGTGAGAGGGCCTGGAGGGTAAAGGTCACAGTAGTGCCCGTGGTGATCGGTGCACTCGGGGCAGTGACCCCGAAGCTAGAAGAGGTTACAGCGGATACCCGGAACAACCTCGGACATCTGGGTCCAGAAATGTGCAGTGCTAGGAACAGCAAAGATACTGAACCCTCAAGCTCCCAGGAGGCTCCCAGGACCCGAGCTTAGAGAGGGATAACCGCCCACGGAGGGCCAAAGGTGAGTGGACAATTTAATTTAATTTATATATATATATATATACTGTATGTCCACACAGAATGGATCTCACTCCCAGAGTGAACAAAAGCAGACGTTGGGGACCGTAGTATCTCAGTATACCGCAGTATCTCAGTATACCACAGTATCTCAGTATACCGCAGTATCTCAGTATACCGCAGTATCTCAGTATACAACAGTATCTCAGTATACCACAGTATCTCAGTATACTACAGTATCTCAGTATACCACAGTATCTCAGTATACCACAGTATCTCAGTATACAACAGTATCTCAGTATACAACAGTATCTCAGTATACCACAGTATCTCAGTATACTACAGTATCTCAGTATACCACAGTATCTCAGTATACCGCAGTATCTCAGTATACCACAGTATCTCAGTATACCACAGTATCTCAGTATACCACAGTATCTCAGTATACCGCAGTATCTCAGTATACTACAGTATCTCGGTATACCACAGTATCTCAGTATACCGCAGTATCTCAGTATACTACAGTATCTCGGTATACCACAGTATCTCAGTATACCACAGTATCTCAGTATACTACAGTATCTCGGTATACCGCAGTATCTCAGTATACCACAGTATCTCAGTATACTACAGTATCTCGGTATACCGCAGTATCTCAGTATACCACAGTATCTCGGTATACCACAGTATCTCAGTATACTACAGTATCTCGGTATACCGCAGTATCTCAGTATACCACAGTATCTCGGTATACCACAGTATCTCAGTATACTACAGTATCTCAGTATACTACAGTATCTCAGTATACCGCAGTATCTCAGTATACCACAGTATCTCAGTATACCACAGTATCTCAGTATACCACAGTATCTCGGTATACCACAGTATCTCAGTATACTACAGTATCTCAGTATACTACAGTATCTCAGTATACCGCAGTATCTCAGTATACCACAGTATCTCAGTATACCGCAGTATCTCAGTATACTACAGTATCTCGGTATACCACAGTATCTCAGTATACCGCAGTATCTCAGTATACTACAGTATCTCGGTATACCACAGTATCTCAGTATACCACAGTATCTCAGTATACTACAGTATCTCGGTATACCGCAGTATCTCAGTATACCACAGTATCTCAGTATACTACAGTATCTCGGTATACCGCAGTATCTCAGTATACCACAGTATCTCGGTATACCACAGTATCTCAGTATACTACAGTATCTCGGTATACCGCAGTATCTCAGTATACCACAGTATCTCGGTATACCACAGTATCTCAGTATACTACAGTATCTCAGTATACTACAGTATCTCAGTATACCACAGTATCTCAGTATACCACAGTATCTCAGTATACCACAGTATCTCAGTATACCACAGTATCTCGGTATACCACAGTATCTCAGTATACTACAGTATCTCAGTATACTACAGTATCTCAGTATACCGCAGTATCTCAGTATACCACAGTATCTCAGTATACCACAGTATCTCAGTATACCGCAGTATCTCAGTATACCGCAGTATCTCAGTATACCACAGTATCTCAGTATACCGCAGTATCTCAGTATACCACAGTATCTCGGTATACCACAGTATCTCAGTATACCACAGTATCTCAGTATACCGCAGTATCTCTCTGGTCTCTATCTGGTCTCTCTCTCTGGTCCCTCTCTGGTCCCTCTCTGGTCCCTCTCTGGTCCCTCGCTGGTTAAAAGCCATGACTGGATGCACACATATATCAATGCGGCCCCTGGGAGCTGATGATCCAGATTCAGTTTCTCTTAATGCACCGGACGGAGCTTTGTAAACGGATCAGTCTGAGAGGAGACGGCGAGGACCAGCATCCATCACACAAACATGTTTCCTCTGCTTCATTAAAACAAGAGCGAGACTTTAACTGACACAATGGGGAATGGACCAAAGTCCATATGGTTCTTTCTAACAAAGGAGTATCTTTCTATGACATCATTGAAGTGTTGCAGCCTGTCTCTGCCAAAGCAGACGCCTCAGACCACAGAGCGTGTAGACGACGACTGCCCGAGTGTGACATCACAACAGTGTTAGCCTTAATGCAGAAGAGGCCCATTTGAACAAACGCTGGAGCCAGTTTCCTTAAAGCTGCACTAACTGACTTTATTTTCGTATTCATTACGAAAATGCTATCCATGTCCATGTAGTGCATTGGGATATACGTCCTTTTGAAGAATAATTAGCGCAGATTTGTGCTGGCGTGACATTATATTTTAGATCGAGTTTTCATGAAACAAGGAAGAGAATGTGTTTCGGGTCGCAGATTGTGACCAATCACAACGGACCACTGGCCCCCACTTTCGTGAGAAATCTACAGGTCCGTTAGCATAGACGGCTGAGTTAGCACAACAAGCCGAGGAGCTAACCTGAAGCTTCGATGTCTTCATCACCGGTTACTGCTTACTTAGCGAAACAGCCATCCAAAAGAAAGTCTCGTTCCTCCGCGCTTCCCGGTTCTATCGTTCTATGGTCACGCCATCCACGTGCAAATCCATATTCATGTATTATCCATATTGGGAGACACTAGCTCCGTCCCAACAGTGAGTGTGTGTGGGGGGCGATAGCTTCGTGGGTGCGGGGAGGGGAGCAGAAAGAGCGAGGCCAGCGGGTCCGCGGCTTCAAAATCCCAAAGTCAGTTAGTGCAGCTTTAAATGGGCAAACCACCCAAACCTGCTTCTTTCACCTCCGCACAATCTCAAAGATTAAAAACATCCTCACTCCTCCCGATCTCCATAAAGTTGTCAACGCCCTCATCTTCTCCCGCCTCGACTACTGCAACTCCCTCCTTTCCGGTCTTGATGCTAAATCCCTCTCCCGCCTCCAACTGGTCCAGAACGCAGCAGCCAGACTTCTCACTGGTTTTAACAGAAGGGAGCACATCACCCCTGTTTTAGCGTCTCTCCACTGGCTCCCTGTGCGTTTTAGAATTGATTTTAAGATTTTACTGATTACTTTTAAAGCTCGTTTAGGTCTGGCACCCAGCTATATTTCTGAACTTTTAACCCCCTACGAGCCCCCCCGCTGCCTTAGATCCTCGGGCAGGTCCCTGTTGACTGTTCCAAGGTCGAGGCTCCGGACGAAAGGTGACCGAGCCTTCTCTGTCCGGGCTCCTCGGCTTTGGAACGACCTGCCCGAGGAGAAAAGGCTCGCACCATCAGTATCCTCTTTTAAATCTCTTCTTAAAACAGCTTTTAACTGTTAGTTTTAAACTTCCGATGCTGTATTTTATTGTCTGCTTTTGTGTTTTGCTCTGTTTGCTTTGTGTTTCTGTATCTAATTATTTTGACCTTGCATTATGACTGTTTTTATTGTTTATCATGCTGACTGTGCAGCGCTTTGTAAACACTGTTTTTAAAAGTGCTATATAAATAAAGATTATTATTATTATTATTATTATTTGTTCTGAGGGCATTTGCTTTGTCACTCTGGTCTTTCTCTCTAGTCTGGTTACTGAGCCGGAGGAGTTTATTTTACATAAGTCAATAGGAGCGAGAGGGAATAGCCAATCTTCACTATGAGCACTTCTCTATTGTCCATCTGTATTAGTTTTGTTTGGGCCTGAAAAATCAAGCCCAACCTGGCCCGAGCCCGACAGAAGCCTGACAGACGTATATACAAATACATATGTATAATATTTGAAAGGGTATTATATGTATACATTTAAACAAAAACAGCAGGGAGATAAATTAAATTATTAATATTTCATAAAAATATAGAAGAAAAAACAATATTGAACCTAAAATCAAGTTGCCTATAACTATATCACAAAATGGGCAAAGCCCATTTTGCAAAGCAATGCGTCAAAAACACTCTAAACTAAAATGCTGCCTGGTCTTTTAAATCGTGTCAAGGCGCAGTCAGTGGAACAGGGGAAAGCTCGTGCGTGTTACTAAGCAACCAAACTAGCAAAGGCAACATAAAACTAAATACCCAGATAAATAAAATCATTACATAGTTGGACATGGATGAAACCAAATTTATTTTATCCCCACTCTTTACTGCTAAGCATATTACTCACAGTAAAAGAAGAAAGGAGAAAACATTTTGGCTACATATTTCAATATATACAATGTGGGACAGGTGCGGCATGTACAAGTCCAAAATTCAATTTCTTTCTAAACATTAAGGTCCCTCTGCCGCTTATGAACCGTTTATTGTCCAGAAAATACGGGTAAGTGCTTAACAAGAGAAGATAGAACAATCACATGAGCAATTAAATCTGAAACCATCAATGTATGGAAGAGACAGACACAACACACAACACACACACACTAAACTCTCGTCTGCTTTAGTCCTGCTTTAGACCTGCTTTAGTCCTGCTTTAGTCCTGCTTTAGTCCTGCTTAGTCCCTGCTTTAGACCTACTTTAGTCCTGCTTTAGGACCTGCTTTAGACCTGCTTTAGGACCTGCTTTAGTCCTGCTTTGGAGTCCTGCTTTAGACCTGCTTTAGACCTGCTCATTAGTCCTGCTTTAGTCCTGCTTTAGTCCTGCTTTAGACCTGCTTTAGTCCTACTTTAGACCTGCTTTAGTCCTGCTTTAGACCTGCTTTAGACCTGCTTTAGTCCTGCCTTAGACCAGCTTTAGTCCTGCTTTAGTCCTGCTTTAGTCCTGCTTTAGTCCTGCTCTAGACCTGCTTTAGTCCTGCTTTAGACCTGCTTTAGACCTGCTTTAGACCTGCTTTAGACCTGCTTTAGACCTGCTTTAGTCCTGCTTTAGACCTGCTTTAGACCTGCTTTAGTCCTGCTTTAGTCCTGCTTTAGACCTGCTTTAGTCCTGCTTTAGTCCTGCTTTAGTCCTGCTTTAGACCTGCTTTAGTCCTGCTTTAGTCCTGCTTTAGTCCTGCTTTAGACCTGCTTTAGTCCTGCTTTAGACCTGCTTTAGACCTGCTTTAGACCTGCTTTAGTCCTGCTTTAGTCCTGCTTTAGACCTGCTTTAGTCCTGCTTTAGACCTGCTTTAGTCCTGCTTTAGACCTGCTTTAGTCCCTGCTTTAGACCTGCTTTAGACCTGCTTTAGACCTGCTTTAGTCCTGCTTTAGACCAGCTTTAGTCCTGCTTTAGTCCTGCTTTAGTCCTGCTTTAGTCCTGCTTTAGTACCTGCTTTAGACCTGCTTTAGACCTGCTTTAGACCTGCCTTTTAGTCCTGCTTTAGACCTGCTTTAGTCCTGCTTTAGACCTGCTTTAGTCCTGCTTTAGTCCTGCTTTAGACCTGCTTTAGTCCTGCTTTAGACCTGCTTTAGTCCTGCTTTAGTCCTGCTTTAGTCCTGCTTTAGACCTGCTTTAGTCCTGCTTTAGTCCTGCTTTAGTCCTGCTTTAGACCTACTTTAGTTCTGCTTTAGACCTGCTTTAGTCCTGCTTTAGACCTGCTTTAGACCTGCTTTAGTCCTGCTTTAGACCTGCTTTAGTCCTGCTTTAGACCTGCTTTAGACCTGCTTTAGACCTGCTTTAGACCTGCTTTAGACCTGCTTTAGACCTGCTTTAGTCCTGCTTTAGTCCTGCTTTAGTCCTGCTTTAGACCTGCTTTAGACCTGCTTTAGTCCTGCTTTAGACCTGCTTTAGTCCTGCTTTAGTCCTGCTTTAGTCCTGCTTTAGACCTGCTTTAGTCCTGCTTTAGTCCTGCTTTAGTCCTGCTTTAGACCTGCTTTAGACCTGCTTTAGTCTTGCTTTAGTCCTGCTTTAGTCCTGCTTTAGTCCTGCTTTAGTCCTGCTTTAGACCTGCTTTAGACCTGCTTTAGTCCTGCTTTAGTCCTGCTTTAGACCTGCTTTAGACCTGCTTTAGACCTGCTTTAGTCCTGCTTTAGTCCTGCTTTAGTCCTGCTTTAGACCTGCTTTAGACCTGCTTTAGTCCTGCTTTAGTCCTGCTTTAGACCTGCTTTAGTCCTGCTTTAGACCTGCTTTAGTCCTGCTTTAGACCTGCTTTAGTCCTGCTTTAGACCTGCTTTAGTCCTGCTTCAGTCCTGCTTTAGACCTGCTTTAGTCCTGCTTTAGTCCTGCTTTAGACCTGCTTTAGTCCTGCTTTAGTCCTGCTTTAGTCCTGCTTTAGTCCTGCTTTAGTCCTGCTTTAGTCCTGCTTTAGTCCTGCTTTAGTCCTGCTTTAGTCCTGCTTTTGACCTGCTTTAGACCTGCTTTAGACCTGCTTTAGTCCTGCTTTAGTCCTGCTTTAGTCCTGCTTTAGACCTGCTTTAGTCCTGCTTTAGTCCTGCTTTAGTCCTGCTTTAGTCCTGCTTTAGACCTGCTTTTGTCCTGCTTTAGTCCTGCTTTAGTCCTGCTTTAGACCTGCTTTAGACCTGCTTTAGTCCTGCTTTAGTCCTGCTTTAGACCTGCTTTAGTCCTTCTGTAGACCTGCTTTAGTCCTGCTTTAGTCCTGCTTTAGACCTGCTTTAGTCCTGCTTTAGTCCTGCTTTAGACCTGCTTTAGTCCTGCTTTAGTCCTGCTTTAGACCTGCTTTAGTCCTGCTTTAGTCCTGCATTAGTCCTGCTTTAGTCCTGCTTTAGTCCTGCTTTAGTCCTGCTTTAGTCCTGCTTTAGTCCTGCTTTAGACCTGCTTTAGTCCTGCTTTTGTCCTGCTTTAGACCTGCTTTAGTCCTGCTTTAGACCTGCTTTAGACCTGCTTTAGTCCTGCTTTAGTCCTGCTTTAGACCTGCTTTAGTCCTGCTGTAGACCTGCTTTAGTCCTGCTTTAGACCTGCTTTAGTCTTGCTTTAGTCCTGCTTTAGTCCTGCTTTAGACCTGCTTTAGACCTGCTTTAGACCTGCTTTAGACCTGCTTTAGACCTGCTTTAGACCTGCTTTAGACCTGCTTTAGACCTGCTTTAGACCTGCTTTAGACCTGCTTTAGACCTGCTTTAGTCCTGCTTTAGACCTGCTTTAGACCTGCTTTAGACCTGCTTTAGACCTGCTTTAGTCCTGCTTTAGTCCTGCTTTAGACCTGCTTTAGTCCTGCTTTAGTCCTGCTTTAGTCCTGCTTTAGTCCTGCTTTAGTCCTGCATTAAACCTTCTTTAGTCCTGCTTTAGTCCTGCTTTAGTAAGTAAGTAAGTAAAGTTTATTTGTATAGCACCTTTCACAGACCAGGGTCACAAAGCGCTTCACACATTAAAATACAAAATACAGATAAACCAAAGACAGAAAACACAGTTGACATTCACAGAGGCCTCTGAACAGTGAGGAGAGAATCAACAGGTTCTGAGTAGAGGACCATCAACAGGTTCTGAGTAGAGGACCATCAACAGGTTCTGAGTAGAGGACCATCAACAGGTTCTGAGTAGAGGACCATCAACAGGTTCTGAGTAGAGGACCATCAACAGGTTCTGAGTGGAGGACCATCAACAGGTTCTGAGTGAAGGACCATCAACAGGTTCTGAGTAGAGGACCATCAACAGGTTCTGAGTAGAGGACCATCAACAGGTTCGAGTAGAGGACCATCAACAGGTTCTGAGTAGAGGACCATCAACAGGTTCTGAGTAGAGGACCATCAACAGGTTCTGAGTAGAGGACCATCGACAGGTTCTGAGTAGAAGACCATCAACAGGTTCTGAGTAGAGGACCATCAACAGGTTCTGAGTAGAGGACCATCAACAGGTTCTGAGTGGAGGACCATCAACAGGTTCTGAGTAGAGGACCATCAACAGGTTCTGAGTGGAGGACCATCAACAGGTTCTGAGTAGAGGACCTCAGACTCCTGTTGGAGCCATAAGGGTGGATCAGGCCCTGGATGTATTCAGGGCCTGACCATGAAGAGCCCTGACCATGAAGAGCCCTGACCATGAAGGGCCCTAAATGTCAAGACCAGAATTTTAAAATATATTCTGTGTGAGACAGGGAGCCAGTGTAAGGCCTTCAAGACAGGGGTAATGTGGGCTCTCCTGTGGGTGCTCTCTCCTGTGGGTGCTCTCCTGTGGGTGTGCTCCTGTGGGTGCTCTCCTGTGGGTGCTCTCCTGTGGGTGCTCTCCTGTGGGTGCTCTCTCCTGTGGGTGCTCTCCTGTGGGTGCTCTCTCCTGTGGGTGCTCTCCTGTGGTAGCTCTCCTGTGGGTGCTCTCCTGTGGGTGCTCTCCTGTGGGTGCTCTCTCCTGTGGGTGCTCTCCTGTGGGTGCTCTCCTGTGGGTGCTCTCCTGTGGGTGCTCTCTCCTGTGGGTGCTCTCTCCTGTGGGTGCTCTCTCCTGTGGGTGCTCTCCTGTGGTAGCTCTCCTGTGGATGCTCTCCTGTGGGTGCTCTCCTGTGGATGCTCTCCTGTGGGTGCTCTCCTGTGGGTGCTCTCCTGTGGGTGCTCTCCTGTGGGTGCTCTCTCCTGTGGGTGCTCTCTCCTGTGGGTGCTCTCTCCTGCGGGTGCTCTCCTGTGGGTGCTCTCCTGTGGGTGCTCTCCTGTGGGTGCTCTCCTGTGGGTGCTCTCTCCTGTGGGTGCGGGTCAAAAGCCTTGCAGCAGAATTTTGGACGACTTGTAAACGAGCCAGGTCTCTTTTACTAAGACATGTAAGCAGCTGTTACAGTAGTCCAATCGCCAGGAAACAAAAGCGTGGACAATCATCTCCAGCTCCGGACCCGAGACCATGTGTCTGAGACCATGTGTCTGACCTGAGACCATGTGTCTGAGCTTAGAGATGTTGCGCAAGTGGAAATTGCAGTTTGGGGTCAGCTGTTTGGTGTGTCGTTCTAGGGACATCCCTCCATCAAAAGTGACTCCCAGGTTCCTCAGACTCTTTTTTACTGAGCTACTTAGGTCACCAAGGTGCTGAGCAATAACAGAAACAATACTGTCACCAAGGTGCTGAGCAATAACAGAAACAATACTGTCACCAAGGTGCTGAGCAATAACAGAAACAATACTGTCACCAAGGTGCTGAGCAATAACAGGAACAATACTGTCACCAAGGTGCTGAGCAATAACAGGAACAATACTGTCACCAAGGTGCTGAGCAATAACAGAAACAATACTGTCACCAAGGTGCTGAGCAATAACAGGAACAATACTGTCACCAAGGTGCTGAGCAATAACAGAAACAATACTGTCACCAAGGTGCTGAGCAATAACAGAAACAATACTGTCACCAAGGTGCTGAGCAATAACAGGAACAATACTGTCACCAAGGTGCTGAGCAATAACAGAAACAATACTGTCACCAAGGTGCTGAGCAATAACAGGAACAATACTGTCACCAAGGTGCTGAGCAATAACAGAAACAATACTGTCACCAAGGTGCTGAGCAATAACAGGAACAATACTGTCACCAAGGTGCTGAGCAATAACAACAATACTGTCACCAAGGTGCTGAGCAATAACAGAAACAATACTGTCACCAAGGTGCTGAGCAATAACAGGAACAATACTGTCACCAAGGTGCTGAGCAATAACAGGAACAATACTGTCACCAAGGTGCTGAGCAATAACAGGAACAATACTGTCACCAAGGTGCTGAGCAATAACAGAAACAATACTGTCACCAAGGTGCTGAGCAATAACAACAATACTGTCACCAAGGTGCTGAGCAATAACAGGAACAATACTGTCACCAAGGTGCTGAGCAATAACAGGAACAATACTGTCACCAAGGTGCTGAGCAATAACAGGAACAATACTGTCACCAAGGTGCTGAGCAATAACAGAAACAATACTGTCACCAAGGTGCTGAGCAATAACAGAAACAATACTGTCACCAAGGTGCTGAGCAATAACAGGAACAATACTGTCACCAAGGTGCTGAGCAATAACAGGAACAATACTGTCACCAAGGTGCTGAGCAATAACAGGAACAATACTGTCACCAAGGTGCTGAGCAATAACAGGAACAATACTGTCACCAAGGTGCTGAGCAATAACAGAAACAGTACTGTCACCAAGGTGCTGAGCAATAACAGGAACAATACTGTCACCAAGGTGCTGAGCAATAACAGGAACAATACTGTCACCAAGGTGCTGAGCAATAACAGAAACAATACTGTCACCAAGGTGCTGAGCAATAACAGGAACAGTACTGTCACCAAGGTGCTGAGCAATAACAGGAACAATACTGTCACCAAGGTGCTGAGCAATAACAGGAACAATACTGTCACCAAGGTGCTGAGCAATAACAGAAACAATACTGTCACCAAGGTGCTGAGCAATAACAGGAACAATACTGTCACCAAGGTGCTGAGCAATAACAGGAACAATACTGTCACCAAGGTGCTGAGCAATAACAGGAACAATACTGTCACCAAGGTGCTGAGCAATAACAGGAACAATACTGTCACCAAGGTGCTGAGCAATAACAGGAACAATACTGTCCGGGGCTAACACTAAGGTTTCTGTTTTACTGGAGTTCAGCTGGAGGCTTTTGTCACTAAGCCATATCTTTATTTTGTGCAGACAGTTAGTGAGAGCAACCAGTCTCTGGGGCTCAGAGGGCTTAAAAGAGCAGTACAGCTGGAGATGGTCAGCATACAGGTGGTAAGAGACCTCACTGAACTGCTGGATCAGCCTAGAGGGAGCAGGTACAACATAAATTAAAGCCGCAAGCGGCATCTAACGGCCCTCGCCGCACCGCGCAAAGGAGGTGGCGCTGACGCGCCATTTTCCTGCAGCCCTGATGGGAGCGACACTGTGTGTTTTGAACCTATGATTAGTGATTGTGTGTGTCTATTGAAAAGGTAAACTTGATTCTCCCCATGTAATACTTGACTCCGTCTGTAGGGGGCGCTATTTCTGCAATTTTGTCTTTAACACTTTCAGTTTACCCAAACCAGAGAGTTGAACAATCAATTCAAATTTTGTGCAAATCGGACTTTGTATGTGCAAATGGTGGCATTTAATGTTGTACAACAGCGCCCCCTACATCTAAAATGTTTTAGTGTTATACCAAAGAACACCAAAATAATACACTTTATGCTTGAAAAAAACTTGTGGCAAAGTTTGGTGAGTTTTCGTGTTTGTTCAGTGGGTCAAATATGAGATCAAACAACTGAAAACCTAAATACCTTTTTCCCCATGTAAACCTTTACTCAGCCTGTAGGGGGCGCTAATGGGCCAATGTCATTGTTCACACAGTCATGTGACCTAGGCCCAGGAGTTGAACAACAAAGTCAAGTTTAGTGCTGAGTTTGTAAATGTGCTCCTGTTTGTACATACAATCTGTGAGTGTGTCCATACAGTCTCCATTGGATAACATGGGAACTTCACACCTCTCTATGAAAATGACCACACTTTGGGGGTCTGTCACGCTCAGACCGTTTGACTAATTAAAACTCTATATGCAACTATTGATGGTCCATGTGTTGAGACGATGTGGAGCGATTTTCAGCCATATTAGTGAAACGGCCGCGGCTGGTTTGATGTTTGAGCGAGGTGTACTTTTAAGAGATTTAACGATTTTCTCATAGACACAGACAGGGGAGTGTTTGTCGTCGCCACGGCAACAGGGTAAAAAAAAATCATATGTTGTCATTGACTTTTTTAATCCAGATGACAAAACAGAATTATGTGCAAAATTTCCAACATTTTGACAAAACTAAATTTTAAAAAGCCCATGTAAAACTTTAACATAGTCTGTAGGGGGCGCTAATGAGCCAATTTCAATATTTCCACTTTCAGATGACCTAGACCCTGGCGCTAAATAATGGATTAAAATTTGGTGCAAATCCGGCTTTGTTTGTGCAAACGGGAGCAAATTTACTTTTGTCAAAAATCCCCAAAAAAATGTCACATTTTGCCGCTCCGCTGCTCGGACAACGTTTAACTGATCCAAATTCTATATTCAATAATAGATGGGACATGGGTTTAGATCATGTGGAGCGATTTTGAGACAAATCAGTGAAACGGCCGAGGAGGAGATAATTTCCAGCCGACATGTGTGAAAAATATCTATTTTCATTTTTCCATTTTCCATTGAAATTAATGAGCTTCCTGTTTGTCAGGGGGCGGAGCCATAATAACTTTTTTTTCATGTCTTGACCTGAGGAACATGTGTACCGAGTTTCGTGGCTCTACGACAAACTTGACCTCTGACCCCCTCCCATAGGTGCAATGTAAACTGACTTTTGTAGGGGGCGCTGTTCGGTCATTTTTTTAGTCCCATAAAAATAAACACCAAAAAAATTAATTTTTCGCCGGTTCTGAATTTTGGGCAAAATTTCACAACTTTTCATCAATGTTCAGGGGGTCAAATTAAGGTTCAAAGTGCAGAAGAAAAAAGAAATAATAAATAAGGAATTTTTTTTTTTAATTCTTCGAGCAAAAACAATATAGGTTTCCATAGTAACCTATAATACAAATGATACGTCGTTTTAAAGCGAACGACCAGACGAACGCAACTATTGGGTTCTCGGTGATTGACGAGCGCTGACGCGCTCGTCAATTACCTCGCCATCATGAGGTCACCCACCCCCCCCATAGGACCCCATTGATTACAGTGTGTACTACAGCAGGAGCAAAGCCATTCAGTGCCTCCGGCACTGTTTTGTCAGTGTCTGGGCACGCGCCGTCGGGCTTGGGGGACGAATGTCCGGGCTTCGCCCGGACATTCGTCCATAAAACAGTTGAAGGAACCCCCCTTTAATAGGACTTCAATCATTTCACTGTGTACTACAGCAGGAACAAAGCCATTCCGTGCCTCCGGCACAGATTTATCAGTGCTTGGGCACGTGCCGTCGCGTGCAGGTCACAATCTCCGGGCTGCGCCCGGAGATTGTGACTTAAAACAGTTCAACGAGTAATGCCTGGGCTTCGCCCAGGCATTACTCGTTGGAAAAGCAATAGGCCCTTACCCCGGTTGGGGCTCGGGCCTAATAAAATAGGCCCAAGAACGGAGCCTTGGGGTACACCCCACTGTAGTCCTGTAAATACACAAAAACTTTGTGAAAATTTGTTTAGGAAACAAAATCAATACAATAAAATAATAATAGTGTGTCTGTGTGTGTCTGTGTGTGTGTGTCTCTCTGTGTGTGTCTCTGTGTCTGTGTGTGTGTGTGTCAGCCTCTCTCAGGTGTGTGTGCAGACAGGTGAGGGAGTGTCCCCCAGGGCCCCCTCTCTTCTGTGTGAAGATCCTGGCTCTGAACCTGAGCCGCTCCGAGTCCCTGTGCTCTCTGTCGGCCCTGCGCTGTGCCAAACACCAGCTGCAGGTGTCTGAGGGCCCCTGTGTCTGAGGGCCCCTGTGTCTGAGGGCCCTGTGTCTGAGGGCCCTGTGTCTGAGGGCCCCTGTGTCTGAGGGCCCCTGTGTCTGAGGGCCCTGCGTCTGAGGGCCCCTTTGTTTGAGGGCCCTGTGTCTGAGGGCCCCTGTGTTGGAGGGCCCTGCGTCTGAGGGCCCCTTTGTTTGAGGGCCCTGTGTCTGAGGGCCCCTGTGTCTGAGGCCCCTATGTCTGAGGCCCCTCTGTGTGAGGCCCCTATGTCTGAGGCCCCTCTGTGTGAGGCCCCTGTATAAATATATATTATGTGTTTTTTGTGGAAACTGTTATTAAAGGATTCAAAAGTTACAGGTTTATGTGTTTTTTATCAATGTTTTTATTAAATCTCTCTCTGGTCTCTCTCTGGTCTCTCTCTCTGGTCTCTCTCTGGTCTCTCTCTGGTCTCTCTCTCTGGTCTCTCTCTCTGGTCTCTCTCTGGTCTCTCTCTCTGGTCTCTCTCTCTGGTCTCAGTGTAATTAAACATTGGTAAAGGTTAAAGGTTATGTTTATTAATCCCTGTCGGGCACTTCCTCCTCTGCATTGGTCCCTGAGGCTGACGTCAGGAGCAGTGGTCGCCGTAGTAACAGCGCCCAGAACCATCTCCAGTGGGTAATGCTCTGGGTCAGGACCAGAGCTGGAGGGAAACTGGAGTATCCGGAGGAAACCTCGCAGGCACGGGGAGAACATGCAAACTCCGCTCAGAAAGACCCTTTTCAAACAGGGATTTGAACCCAGGACCTTCTTACTGAGGGGAGAGAGTGCTAACCACTCAGCCACCGTGCTGCCCATGATGAAGGTAAATAAACTCTGCAATCTTTACTTCCAAATCTGTTTCCCATATGTACCATGTGTACCATATGTACCATACCTTACCATGTGTACCATATGTACCATACCTTACCATGTGTACCATACCTTACCATGTGTGCCATATGTACCATACCTTACCATGTGTGCCATATGTACCATAAGCCTTACCATATGTACCATACCTTACCATGTGTGCCATATGTACCATACCTTACCATGTGTACCATATGTACCATAAGCCTTACCATGTGTGCCATATGTACCATAAGCCTTACCATATGTACCATACCTTACCATGTGTACCATATGTACCATACCTTACCATGTGTACCATATGTACCATAAGCCTTACCATATGTACCATAAGCCTTACCATATGTACCATACCTTACCATGTGTACCATATGTACCATACCTTACCATGTGTGCCATATGTACCATACCTTACCATGTGTACCATATGTACCATAAGCCTTACCATGTGTGCCATATGTACCATAAGCCTTACCATATGTACCATACCTTACCATGTGGGCCATATGTACCATACCTTACCATGTGTACCATATGTACCATACCTTACCATGTGTGCCATATGTACCATACCTTACCATGTGGGCCATATGTACCATACCTTACCATGTGTACCATATGTACCATACCTTACCATGTGTGCCATATGTACCATACCTTACCATGTGGGCCATATGTACCATACCTTACCATGTGGGCCATATGTACCATACCTTACCATGTGTACCATATGTACCATACCTTACCATGTGTGCCATATGTACCATACCTTACTATGTGTGCCATATGTACCATAAGCCTTACCATATGTACCATACCTTACCATGTGTGCCATATGTACCATACCTTACCATATGTACCATATCTTACCATGTGTGCCATATGTACCATACCTTACCATATGTACCATATCTTACCATGTGTGCCATATGTACCATACTTTACCACGTGTGCCTTATCTTACCATGTGTGCCATACCTTACCATATGTACCATATCTTACCATGTGTGCCATATGTACCATATCTTACCATACTTTACCATGTGTGCCATATGTACCATACCTTACCATATGTACTATATCTTACCATGTGTGCCATATGTACCATACTTTACCATGTGTACCACATGTACCATAAGCCTTACTATATGTGCCATAAGCCTTACCATGTGTACCACATGTACCATAAGCCTTACTATATGTGCCATAAGCCTTACCATGTGTACCACATGTACCATACCTTACTATGTGCAGCTGAGCACAAACATATTTATAACAAATCATGACTTTGTCTGTTTTTAAACTTAAATATTGATATTTTTGAAATTCCTCGTCCACTGTATTCCATATTTTTACTCCACAGTAAAACAGAAGCTTTTTCATGTGGTCAGGGGTTAAGGGTCAGAGGTCAGGGTCAGGGGTAGTCTTGCACAGTTTTCCCAATGTGGTTTTACTGCAGATGGAAACTAAATGAATCTGAATCCGAGGGTCAGGGTTAGCCTAGCCTTGACCCTGACCTCTGACCTCTGGCCCCTGACCTCTGGGTATTAACTGACCTAACGGCAGCATGTAGCGATTGAACAGAAGAGGTCCCAGGATCGACCCCTGTGGGACTCCACAGGTCAGGGCCATATGATCTGAGACACAGTTTCCAATCTCCACAAAGTACTTCCTGTCTTCAAGGTAAGACCTAAACCAACTTAGGGCGGTGCCAGTGACGCCAACCCAGTCCTCTAGTCTCTGTAAGAGGATCTCATGGTCGACAGTGTCAAAGGCAGCACTTAGATCTAACAAGATTAAGATTGAGACTTTGCCTGCGTCAGTGTTCAGCCGGATATCGTTTGTAACCTTAACGAGAGCAGTCTCAGTGCTGTGGTGGGGTCTAAAGCCGGACTGAAACATATCAAATGAATGATTCATTGTTAAAAATTCAGTAAGTTGTTGGGAGGCAACTTTTTCAAGGATTTTCCCCATAAATGGCAGATTCGATATGGGCCGGTCATTTTGAAGTACTACAGGATCCAGACTGCTCTTTTTCAGGAGAGGTCTGATGACTGCTGTTTTCAGGGCCATAGGAAATGCTCCAGATAAAAGAGACATGTTTATTATCTGTGTGAGTGAAGGTAACAAACTGCTCAGGACAGACTTTAATCTAGAGGGTAATATATCCAGGCTACATGTGGAGGAGCTCAAACTGGAGATTATCTTTTTGACAGTTTCAGTATCCACAGGTGCAAAGTGGGTTAGCTCAGAAAGCTTCTCTGGCTGTTGTTTTGTTATACTGCTGTGGAGGTGATAGTGTTATACTGCTGTGGAGGTGATAGTGTTATACTGCTGTGGAGGTGATAGTGTTATACTGCTGTGGAGATGATAGTGTTATGCTGCTGTGGAGGTGATAGTGTTATACTGCTGTGGAGGTGATAGTGTTATACTGCTGTGGAGGTGATAGTGTTATACTGCTGTGGAGATGATAGTGTTATACTGCTGTGGAGATGATAGTGTTATACTGCTGTGGAGATGATAGTGTTATACTGCTGTGGAGGTGATAGTGTTTATACTGCTGTGGAGATGATAGTGTTATACTGCTGTGGAGGTGATAGTGTTATACTGCTGTGGAGGTGATAGTGTTATACTGCTGTGGAGATGATAGTGTTATACTGCTGTGGAGATGATAGTGTTATACTGCTGTGGAGGTGATAGTGTTATACTGCTGTGGAGGTGATAGTGTTATACTGCTGTGGAGGTGATAGTGTTATACTGCTGTGGAGGTGATAGTGTTATACTGCTGTGGAGGTGATAGTGTTATACTGCTGTGGAGATGATAGTGTTATACTGCTGTGGAGATGATAGTGTTATACTGCTGTGGAGGTGATAGTGTTATACTGCTGTGGAGATGATAGTGTTATACTGCTGTGGAGGTGATAGTGTTATACTGCTGTGGAGGTGATAGTGTTATACTGCTGTGGAGGTGATAGTGTTATACTGCTGTGGAGGTGATAGTGTTATACTGCTGTGGAGATGATAGTGTTATACTGCTGTGGAGGTGATAGTGTTATACTGCTGTGGAGGTGATAGTGTTATACTGCTGTGGAGATGATAGTGTTATACTGCTGTGGAGGTGATAGTGTTTGTTATACTGCTGTGGAGATGATAGTGTTATACTGCTGTGGAGATGATAGTGTTATACTGCTGTGGAGGTGATAGTGTTATACTGCTGTGGAGATGATAGTGTTATACTGCTGTGGAGGTGATAGTGTTATACTGCTGTGGAGATGATAGTGTTATACTGCTGTGGAGGTGATAGTGTTATACTGCTGTGGAGGTGATAGTGTTATACTGCTGTGGAGGTGATAGTGTTATACTGCTGTGGAGGTGATAGTGTTATACTGCTGTGGAGATGATAGTGTTATACTGCTGTGGAGGTGATAGTGTTATACTGCTGTGGAGGTGATAGTGTTATACTGCTGTGGAGATGATAGTGTTATACTGCTGTGGAGGTGATAGTGTTATACTGCTGTGGAGATGATAGTGTTATACTGCTGTGGAGATGATAGTGTTATACTGCTGTGGAGGTGATAGTGTTATACTGCTTTGGAGGTGATAGTGTTATACTGCTGTGGAGATGATAGTGTTATACTGCTGTGGAGATGATAGTGTTATACTGCTGTGGAGGTGATAGTGTTATACTGCTGTGGAGATGATAGTGTTATACTGCTGTGGAGATGATAGTGTTATACTGCTGTGGAGATGATAGTGTTATACTGCTGTGGAGATGATAGTGTTATACTGCTGTGGAGGTGATAGTGTTATACTGCTGTGGAGATGATAGTGTTATACTGCTGTGGAGATGATAGTGTTATACTGCTGTGGAGGTGATAGTGTTATACTGCTGTGGAGGTGATAGTGTTATACTGCTGTGGAGGTGATAGTGTTATTCTGCTGTGGAGATGATAGTGTTATACTGCTGTGGAGGTGATAGTGTTATACTGCTGTGGAGGTGATAGTGTTATACTGCTGTGGAGATGATAGTGTTATACTGCTGTGGAGATGATAGTGTTATACTGCTGTGGAGGTGATAGTGTTATACTGCTGTGGAGGTGATAGTGTTATACTGCTGTGGAGATGATAGTGTTATACTG